AAACATTAGTTTTCACTTTAGTGTTAGAATCATCAAAATTCACCCAGAATCACAATCTCTATCTATAACAGAGCATAGAGAATATGCATTTTTATAAGTTCTTGGATGATTTTGATGTAGGACTTATTAATCACTTATGAAACATTTGCCTTAGAAAGTGTGATTTCAAGGACACTGCTGTCAAAAGTTCTGATACAATGTCCTTATTAAAAAATCTTGCTTCTGGAAGAATACTACTTGAAGCCTTGTCAGTTATGTAAACTGTAAAATCAAAGAAAATTCTCTTCTGAGAAGACCTTTATAAGAGAGGTGGGAAAAGCTAGAAAGCACAAATTCCTGAGCTGGGGAAAGAAAAAGTAGAAATGAAACCTTAAAAGGTAAAGGGGGAGAAAAGAAAAATATTGAAGTACTAGTTTACCAATCAGCATCCAAGAAGTTTTTCTTCATTAAATACTCTGTGTGTGTGTGTGTGTGTGTGTGTGTGTGTGTGTTTTAATTTTAGGTACCAGTGTTCATATGTATAAGGAGATTTGAGAATCTTTTGAAAAAAAAAATACAGACATCTGCTTGGTTTGCTAATTACAGCAGCTCATTGGATGTAAAGGAGAATGTTTAATTTAATTATTGACTTTGAATAGACATGTTGCCACTGATATTATAGCTAGATTAATTAATTGTTCAATGGTTATAGAGACAAAGAGAACACAGTGAGACCTACTTTCCATCAATATTTGGACATTCTTTTTTGCAGAATAGTCATAGTAAGTTACATGTACTATTTTATAATATTAGCTTGCTTGCCTATCATGTCTTCAATTCCTCTTTTTTAAATTTAAGTGGAATATAACTTGTCCTTTGAAATACATACTATTCTTGCAAAATTCATAACTATTTATGTACATAATAGTCTGCATAAGATGGTGTCCTTCAAGTGGAACCTAATACATATTGAGTCTTCCTTAAATTATTAAAAGCTGTATTACTTGAGTCTTTATCTGTAATAGTTCCAATCACATAATCACTGTGTATGGGCTAGAGTTAAATTTCCTGAAGAGGTAATGTTAATTTAAGTTTAAAATTACTCCAGAGAGTTTGTCTGTGGTCCCAAATGGCTGTAATGTTTCTAGCTTTGGACTAACATTGAGCTTAATGTATGATTTGATAATAATTCAGTTTATTATGAAAGTGAACATTTTACTAATGGACMTTTCTTTAAAAATCCCATCTCCTCTCTCCACAATAGTTTGACAAGTAGACATTTGCTACTTTTGTTTGAACTGGTTTCTTGGGTACACCACCTCCTCGACCTTTTCATTTTGCAGAAACATCTTGCTTTTCTTTGTAGTTGAACTCAGAAGCTAGGTTCTTTCGAATCTGTAAGAACTCAACACTGTAACCGTGAACAATGAACACCTCTCAGCCATCTCAGCTGAGTACCTAACATCTCTGATTGGTGCCTTGGAATAGAAAAAGGATTGAGCCAGATGTGCAAAACATAATCCCACAGGCAAGAGCTTTTCAGAAGACTGATATAGTATTTCCATTATTTGTTCTAAATAGGTTAGAAATATATTACAATTTTAAAGTTTTTATCCAAGAGAACCTCTTGCTTTTTCTTTTCAGGTAAAAACTACACAATGAACATTTTGTATAATGGCAGGGTTAAAATGGATGAGACATTAAAGGTTTTTTTTTAACATAATCCTTTTCTATGGATATTGTGTGAAAAGATGGCCTGGGAAATACTATCTGGGAACACAGAGGTCACTTGTAAGCAAACTTATAATAGTTCATAGACACTAAACAGATACACTTTATCTTTCAAGTGTTACAGGGCATTTGAAGGCCTCTGAACCCTGCCCCCAACTCTGGTCCTGGAATTACTGCAAATTTTGTCTTGGAAAATACTTTTTTCTGCTTATCTTGCTGGGAAAATAAAGTCTAGTAAAACAAAACATACAGCCTTCCAGGATGGAAATGTCCACTATTGAACAAAGCATATGTTTTCTCTTATGCTGAAATCTGATTTTTGTATTTCTTTTACACATTGTCCTCTGCAACAGTTTTAAGAGATACCACCTCCCATCTTTTCTTGGGATATAAATCAACAATTACTCAGTTCCCACAATAAATGTTAAGGTCATAAACGAGAGCARACAGTACTTTGATCTATGAAAGATTTAGGTATTGTCTATTTTGTTGGCAACAGTGCAAACCAGGGTAGCATTGCTCCCTATTCATACTTACATGAGTGTTTCCTCTTCCTCTTTCTCCTCCTCCTCCTTCTTCCTTCCCCTTCTCTCTCCCCCCACCCTCTCTCCCCCTTTCTGTACTAACAGGGTTTTCTTTTTAGAAAAATAATTAAAAGTATAATTACTATCTTGGTAAAATTTTCAAAGATGATATGAAAATCTAAGTGAAGCATAAGGTAATCAAGGCTGTGCTTATGTAAAAATAATAATAATCCACTGAAACAGTAAAATTCAGAGGGCAGCCAGACTATTTGCAACAGCATAATACATTTGTTTATTTAGTTAAATATTACAACAATAACAGGTTAAGAGCACTAGATGTGTAACCYGTTAATAGGATTATGATCAAAATTTTGATTTGTAAATTTAACTCTTCTTAGCCATTAAAAATCCATTTTCCAAAAGAATGATAATATATGTTATTATTAAGGGACAAATTTAAACTCTGATTTATGATCAAAAAGCATATTTGTTCATTAGTTTAAACAAAACAGAGACATTTTAACTCTTGGTTACTGCTTTCAGAAAAGCACAATGTTCTTGAAGCAAATATACATGACATATCTTTTTCAGTAGTGAGTTCAACCATTGTGTATTATGTCAATGACAGAACCTGAGAATCCCAGATTTATTATCTCCGGATCATTGCATCACACTCTGGTTTACTTAAACAATCAAGAGAAAAAAAACAAACACATGTATTTAGTGCCTACTATGTACAAGCCTGAATAATAAAGGAGTACAAGAAATACAAAGAAGTAAAACTATTGGTCCTTGCCCTGCTCTTTCCAATGCAGTTGGTAAGATTAAACATAGACACAAATTATTCCACTTCCAATGTCCTCAAAAGTAGTGATTATTTTAACTGAACTGTATCTCAGAATCTCCTCTGAGGGAACCTAGAAGAAGCAGAGACATCCCCAGCAGTGATGAAAGTCTCTGAATTAGATTTCTCAGCTTCAGGCTTGAGGGCTTCTTGGACCCCTGAAACTGAAAGTGTTCCAGCCAGTCTCACACCTGTCACTGTTCGGTGGCTGTACTTGAAATTGTTTCTTGGACTCCGACAGAGGAGCAAGATGAACAAATATACACATATATTATGTGCATACACATACATACACACATACATACACTGGAATCACATACAGTAGGGTGATGTTTCCCTTATATATATATATATATATATATTTCCCGGAAAGCTAGGAGTTCAGGTCATTTGAATCTGAATGGAGAAGAGACTAACTCACTTTGTCATTTTTTTAAAAAAAAATTATTATGATAAAACAAGATACCACAATAAGAAAAATATGAAAAATCTCCAAACTCCACCGGACGCAGGCAAAAGTCGAAAGGCTACCAGAAAAGAAAAGAGCGCCCTTCAGAGAGGAGATGTTGAGAGGGCCCTGGAGAAGGGAGGGAGCTTTCCTCCACTCCCGCTCCACTTCAAATCTTAGGGTTCTCAAGAAGAGCCTCCCGATAGGGAAGAAAGGGAAAGCAGAAACACATTTTCCAACACCGAGAATAAATAAATAAATAAATAATCCCGTTAAACAGGAAAATAACTTATTAGGCACCGCCTGAAAAGCAGCAGCCCTGAGGGGCGGCGGGGGTGGGGTGGGGGTGAGGGGGTTACTCTGCAGAGAGCCTGCACGCAACTGCAGCGTGGCCAGCTTTGTGAACAAGGCTCTTAAGTTGCCACCCTAGGTCTTGGCCCCAGTGCCGGATCTGGATCTTCTACGTAAACTAGAGTAGGAAACCGAATCTGATATTATTTTAGGTAGGCTACTCCAGAAACTTGAGCAAGGAAGAAAGAAAAGTGAAGTTTGCTGCTGCGCTTTCAAGCAGTCCCTTAGAAAGTGCGCTGGCTCTGCTCAGCCTAACGCAGATGCGTGTAGCCCAGGGGCGCCCAGCGTTAGCTCTTAGAAACCGGTTCTGAGTCTGGCGTGAGGGTGGCTTCTGTGACACCCCCACCCTATCCCTAGGTTAGGAAGCTTCGACAAATTCCTCTCTTCCTTTACTTCCCAGCTCCATTTTGCTCCAGAGGGGTTTGGATGTGGATGCGTGAACGCTGGGTTTCAAGCACAGGATCTATTTCACTAAGCACCGGGCTCCGCTCTGGATGAAGTGGGAGTGGTGGAGGGGCCAAAGCAAGTATGAGCCTTCACCGAAAAGTAGGTGGAAAGACTATCAATTTAGTTCATTCCCAAGTCCTAGGACCCTTAAAGTAAGGTTGCGCAAAGGAAGAGCGGTGGTAATTTCGGACATTTTGCTAGCTGCACCCGGCAGACTGCCCAGCTGACCCGCGCGGCAGGAAAGGGCTGAAAGCGAACTGGSAACTCACCCCTAGGGAAATCCGTGGTAGTAACCGTGGCTCCTTAACCAAATAATGGCKAGAGGGGCTGAGGAATAGACTGAATTGGCGACATTAATGAGTTCGTGATCTGCGCGAGCCAGACGGAGAGGAAGGATTTAAGTTATAGGGTGTGGAGAACAGAAGGACACGGAGCAGCAAATATAGTGGAGCAAAGGGCCAAAAGTGGGAGACGGAGAAGAGCATCTGAAAGCTTTCTCAGTTTCTAAGCTAAACTCTGAATGCAACCTTATTTGCACAGCTTTCCTGGTTCCTTCCACTACCCCCAAGTTACTCCCAGTGCACCTTGGCGCCCTACATGACATCCCCTCATACCCAGTCTCCCCTACTGGTCCTTCCCCACCCCCCTTTGGCGAGGGCCCCTGAGTGGCCCCAGCTCAAAGAGTCGTGATCCGGGAAGTGCAGGTGCCATTACGAAAGACACCACCGGACTCCAGGTTCTCAGGCTGAAAGTCCTCGACGCTGTAGGCTCTGCTTTTGAGGGCAGTGGCATAGTAGTCGACTGGCTCCTCGGCTGCGTTGTCCATCCAGCTGAGGCACAAGATGCGCTGGAAAGAGCGCTTGAAGTTGTCCGAGAGGAAACCATAAAGTATGGGATTGGCGCAGCTGTTGGCGTAGCCAAGGATGACCGACAACTGGCTCACCGTGGCGTCGTCCTGCTCAGCGAACACGTTGACCAGCTGCACCACGTAGAAAGGCATCCAGCATATGACAAACACCATCACGACCATCATCACCATTAAAGTGATCTTGCGCTCAGAGCGTTTGCGCTGCTGCCAGCCGGCCTTGAGGGCCACCATGCGCATCTTGGCGATAATGAGCACATAGCACAGGCAGATAGCCCCGACGGGCAGCAGGAAGCCCATAAGAAATGTATACAACACGAAGCCCACCAACCAGCGCTGGGCAGGCTCAGGCATGAGCATGTTGCAGGCCACCGTACCATCGCTGTTGGCCGCGGTGCGTGAGAAGACCACAATGGGCAAGATGACAAGCAGAGATAGTACCCACACGCCCAGGTTCACCACTTTGGCCACTGTGGGGCGGCGATAGCGGGCTGCTTTGATGGGGTGCACCACGGCYACATAGCGGTCCACACTGAGTACAGTCAGACAGTAGATGCTGGTGAACATGTTGACCGCATCCACGCTGAGCACGAGGCGGCAGAGCAGCGCGCCGAAAGGCCAGTGGCGCAACAACGTGGAGGTGACCAAAAAGGGCACGCTGAGCATGAGCAGCTCATCAGCAATGGCCAGGTTTAGGATGTAGATGTTGGTGGCCGTCTTCATTTTGGCGTAGCGCAGGATCACGTAGATGACCATGGAGTTCCCACACAGCCCCACCAGGCACACCACGGAGTAGATGAAAGAGATGAGAATTGCGCTCCCCTGGCCCTCGCTTAAGGTCCCATTCTGGGACGCGTTTCGCCCTGGCTCCTCCATGCCGTCMGCAGAGCCAGCCCCGGGGCCCCTGCCGCAGCCGCCTGCGCTGCAGCTGCCCGGGCTGGGGCTAGGAGAAGAGGAAGAAGAGGAGGCGGTGCCATTGGGGAACATGCCAGCTGAGGGGGGCCGCTGGGGCTGCCGGCGCTGGGGCGCTCTGCTGGAGTCCCCGCCGCCTGCGCCCTCCCTCGGTACCCGATAGCTTTCCAGCAGCCTACTGTCACCGGGAACCTCAGGGTAGAGCGCAGCAGCTGCGGGGAGCGCGGCTCCTACCAGCGCCTGCTCGGCGCATCGCCTAGCGGTTGCCTGCCTGAGCGCTGCCTCTTGCTGCTTCTGGGCGCCTGAGCACACCAGAGTGTGGAGAACAGAGGCCAAGAGGCTTCACAGCCATTAACTGGCGCGGCTCTGGGCTGGTGAATGATTAATAGGCACCACCAGCGCGTCAGCAGCTACGAAAAGGGAGGAGGGAGGGAGGAGGGCAGTTAGGTGGTTTGTTCCCCCTCCCCCAGTTTTTTTCCCTTCCCAGTGTTTCTCAGGTTCAACTCGAGCTGTTGCTTTGGGGTTTCCTCGCAACACCTTTACCCATCCCTCAGAACGACTTGGGAAGTGTCTCCGCCTTCCTAGAGGGCAAGTGGGAGCCAAAGGTATAGTGTTGGTCCCATCCCACCCCACTCCTACCCAAAGCAAAGACTAAAGCGAACCCCAAACAGGGATGTCTGGATTTCATCTCAGTTTCCTTCAGTTGCTGACATCTCCTGGGGGAACACCAACTCCCTTAATGTCGCGGGGCCCGGGACCCTAAGCCCTCACCTCCCTCCACCGCTTGCCCTGCCCTTCAGACCTGCAGCTTAAGCTCCCAGTCTCCGTCCCAGAGCGCTCTCTCTCCAGACCGACGCGAAGACGCCCGGTGCAAAGTGCACGTGTGGTCCGGTAGCGCGCAGACGTTTTTTGCGCAGTCCAACTCCCTTTGGGCCCAACCCCGCACAAGAGCCCACGCAAATATTCTTAGAGTGGTAGAAACTGACTCTGAGCCGCGAGCATTAAGAGCAGGAAGAATCACAATTGGTGTGTTAGGGGATTCTGATTTATAACACAGCAGGCAATTCCTCGTGGGCAGGAGTGTAAGGGGTCCGAGTGAAACACGGCGAATCATTTAGTAAATGTTATAGTGCCCAGAGCTCCCTGCGTTTCCCATAGGAATATCGACTGCAGAAACTGGGACGCGCCAGGGAGCTCAGGAGGAGCCTGAGGCTCCCTCCGGAACGTGCCAGGCACGGTATTGGAAATCCATCTAGGTGTTCACAGGAGAAAGATAAGCCTGTGCTGCTCAGAGCCGCTCCGCCCGCGTCCGGGTTGTACTTTGTACCCTGGAGAGTTGGYGGGCGGGGCTGGGAGAAAGAGAGCGGAAAGGCCTGGGTCTGAGGGAACCCAGCTCCATTAAATCCACGAGGGGCCGTCTGAGCAGCTGACCAGACTATCTTCGTCCCAAGATCCGCGGGACAGCAGCCGGTTTTTCCCAGGAAGTATTAGGMAATACTAGTGTATTTCATGTGGCTAAACCTTTAAGACCTGGGCATTGATAAAGGCACGCCTGAAGCTCACTGACTTCATTTAGCAATTGAAAGATTTCCGTGTAAGAAAGAATGGGTGTTCAATTACCATGATTTTTAAATGACCCGTGGGACTTCCCACCATTCTGAGACTAGGCTTTCTTTGGCTTTTCAGTGGAAGCATCACAGTCCATTCAATTCCCTCATTCCTTTTCATAAATCCTTCCCTTGCAAGATCCCTGCAAGTCTCTGAAAGGTGCCAGCTCTCAGGAAGAGGGACCTATGGCTGTCCAGTGCTCAATCTCCTTGGAGCTTTGCAGTCTCCAGTTTCTCCTTATGCTCAACTAAAAGGCACCCACTGTGCAGTGAGTCTCAGTTTTTTTCTCCCCTCAGTACATTTACACCAACGTGAGGCAAACTCACTGGGTAATCATTCACATATATATATTTGTTAGTTCTCAAAACTCAGTGCTCTTGGGAGGGAAAGAATAGCTTGTAGTGYATTGGTGATAGCAATCAGAGATTAATTAAGTGACAACAGACTCWTGTGTGCAAAGGAGACTGCCTTATAAATGAGAAAAGTGCTATGGTGGAATTCAAAATTTCATGGGGTTGATGCTGTTTAACCCATTGCTTTACTTAAACAACTTGCCTTATATCAAGTGGAATGGGAAATTAGTGTTCAGTTATGTTTCTTTCTCTCTTAAAAATACAACACTTGGAAGAAAGAAAAAATGAGTGTTTATCATGTTTAAAACAAAATAAAAGGAATARGTTTTGTCCCAGAAGAGCAGTTTACTACCCAAGCCTCATAATGTTTTAGATGGCTCTGCCCRTTACTCACTTGGCTGTATTTCTGGGAACTGGCATTCAACAGACATCTTTTAGAGGCATTGACTTTGATCATGGTGGCTCCAGGGGGAGTCGGTGATGGGAGTTGATAAAAGACAGCTTTATTGTTAGAATTTCATTAAATTCACTTTGCAATTCATCTTAGGAAAAAACTTCTCTCAATTAAATTGTGGCCTCACATAAAAAGAARAAAACTTAAGACCTGACATAAGCATGCTTTCTTCACTTGTGAAATGATTTCAATGATGGACCATTTATCCATAAAAAACAATTGACAATGAGATAACATTTTACACCCACTAGATGGCTATAATATATTTTTAAAATTGTTGGCAAGAATGTGGAGAAATTGGAACACTCATATGTTGCTGGTAGGAATTTAAAAAAGGATGTAGCAACTTAAAAAAAAATAGCTTGGTGATTCCTCAAAAGGTCTAAAATAGACCTACCATACGACTCAGCAATTCTGTTTTTTACCCCTAAAAATTTGAAAATTGAAAACAGGTTCTGGAATAATAACTTGTACATACATGGATGTTCTACTAGCAGCAGCAACAACAACAAGTAGCAAATAAAATATCCATCAGTCAATGAATAAATAAACAAAATATGGTATAACCACAGAATTGAACATTATTCACCCCTAAAAAGGAATAAAGTACTGATACATGTTACCATATAGATGAACCTTGAAAACATTATACAAAGTGAAAGAAAACAAACACAAAAGGTCACATATTGCATTATTCCATTTATGTGACCTGACAAGGATAGACAAGCACATAGTGACAGAAAGCAGATTAGTGGTTGCCAGGGGTTGGGGAAGAAGTAAATGGAGAAAAAATACTTGATGGGCACGAGGATTCCTTTTTTGGATAAAGAAAATATTCTGGAATTAGTGATAATGATTGCAGGACTTGTGAATATACTAAGAATCACCACATTGTACACTTCAAAATAACTAAGAAATATGAATGTATGTGAATTTTATTTCAATAAAAAAAGAGAGCAACTGAGATTAAGTAAGTTAAACAATGTTACCAAATCTCTTCAGTTATTTGTTTTTTATTATTGTATTTGAGAATCAACCTAGGAGCAAGCAAAAACAAATTTTTAAAAAGGTGGCATTCCTGAGCTAAGCAACATATTAGGGATTAGGGTTACAGTTGTTTTAAAATCAGATTAAAAGCAGGAATCTGTCTCTCACTCATACCTCAATGTAAAGTAAATATTTCCTACAGAAACAGAGAATTGCTATAGGTATGGTATTGTTATGATGATCTAAGATCACAGCCTGTGAAAAGTCAGGACTCAACAACCTTCTTGTTTTGTTAAAAAGCTTTTTATTTTTTTTTAAACTCATAAGTCTAAATCCTTAGAAAGAGCTTGTGCTCTCTATGTAAGTTACCAGTCCTCCACCTCTCCCTTCTTTGGTGACTGTTTATTCTGTGCATCCATGATATGTATTTCTATAAAGGAAAAGAGAAAGGGATGTTTTCCAGGAAGGGACAAATGAAAAGTCCTAATTTAGGAGGCTGCAGATACTTGAACAGACTTATCTTCTTCCCATATTGTGATTTTTCTCCTATAAGCTGCACTCCCCTGTGCCACCCTGAACCAGAGGCACACATTATTGTATTTTTTACCCTGTGCTGTATGCATGCATGTGTGTGTGTGTATGTGTGTGTGTGTGTGTGTGTATGTGTGTGTGTGTGTGTGTGTGTCTGAATGCACATGTGCATTTTGTCCTCTCTTGGAAATCTATAAGCTTTGGGGGCATAGCATCTATGTTTTATTTATCTTTCTATCTCCAGAACCCAGCACAATAGCTAGAAAATCACCCCAAATCTCCTTGCTTTTTTTTTCAAGGTTACTTTTTTCTAGCTCATAAATTGTAGATGAAAAGACATAAACTGCAGGCCTCTTACAAGAACTTTAATATGTGGGTAACATCATCATCTGTAATAATTCCTCATACATTTATATTATTCTGAATAATTTCAATTTGCACATTCTATATCAACAATTATTATGCTGATGATTCATTCATTGATCATTCTTGGTCTTAAATTTCTTGGCAGAGAAAGGGCTCTGGAAAATGGGTAGTACATRCTTTAGTAGCTAATGATGGTTATTTAATAGTAGCATGCAGTGAGAAAGCCATTATACATGGAAGATCGTTTCTTTTTAATTGCAGTCCTGAGTCTCAGTTGGTTTGGTGAAACAGTAATTATCAGGAGCTCTAACTCTGCTTCTGTCAAGATCATTACTAATGTGGTTTTTCCATTTGGAACCTATGGTGAATCTTGAATGAGCTCTTATAACCCATGCATGTGGTAAAGGGTTGGCTGGGACCAGGGATTAAAGGAAAAACTTCCTGGAACATACTCTGCACTGGCATTGTCATAGTTGTGTTTACAAACACCTGTCCAGGCAGATGGGACCAAGCTGAGAATAAGGAGCAAGTACCACTCAGTAATATGGCCCAAAGTAGAGGATGCGTCATCTAAGAGCCATCTGCCACCAGGCTGTTAACATGATGGCGATCTAATAAGAAGGTTACTAGGGTTCAAAGTGACCATAGGACTTAGGAACAATCCTGAATTCATTTCCCAGGGATGCCTAATCACTTCTCAGCAGCTTTGGTAGCCTGTGGTTCAGTTCATCACCAATCTCAGGAAACTGGCCCTGGCCTGCTGATTTCCCTCTAAC